AGGCCAATAGTCAGTTGCTGGTTCGTCGTAGTTGTCTCTCCATTGGTCAAGCGCACACGAAGGGTGTTGGTCTTCGAGATCTTTAGGTCTCCTCGAAGCCGGTTGACCACCTTCTTCGAGACGTAGGAGATATCGGAGCCAGTGTCGAAGAGGATACTAACCGGGTACGGGTTCTGCGTCCAACCGAGGTTTCCACTTGCAAGATTATATCCTTGCAAGCGTTCCAGGTCCTTATCGAAGGTATTGGCAGTTGCGAGGGAGACGTCCCAGGGGTTAGCAGTGAGAGACTCAGCCTCTAGAGGCACAACTCCAATATGCTTCGAGGGGTCTGGAGCTTCGTGGTCGTCAGGTTCCCCTATGCTTGACGACCCTTCCCTTTTCCCCTATGTCCTCGACGGGTCGACTGATTAGCTTTCGGACAGTCTTTCCTCTGATGGCCGGGCTCGCCGCAATCGAAGCAGAGATTCTCTTCCCGACACTTTTGACGGGAAGGAGGTGTTTTGCCCGGGGTCTTTTGCCCACTGGCGGCGTTGTTCGATTTCGGCCGGGTACGCATACCATTGAGGGTCATTTCGACGTCACCATCGTGGTCACGTCGAGGTGCTGCTGAATTGCGTGCGTGAGAGGGACTATTGGTTGTCGAAGTCGCCGGTTTTCCATAGCGGGGCTTGAAAAAGGGAACGCGGTTAGAGGTGGCAAGCATCTCTCGTTCGCTTTTATCGGCGAATTCCACATACTTAGTGTAAGTCCCTGGCACAATCGAGTCAGGAAGGATTTCGATACGGTTCCGGATAGACGTTTTCAGGCCACGTTTGAAGACAAGCAAGCAATCGGCGTCAGAAGGACGCGGCTCAAGGTAAAGACGTCGAGATTCAATGGCCTGTCGAAACGCTTGGACGGTACCTGTCTGCCGAAGCGAGTCGAACTCGTCTCGCCGTTGGTCTTGGGTCCTGACGTCGCCGAATTGACTGAGGAAGGTGTTCTTCCATTCGGCCCAGGACTGGATCCGAAGCTGGTGCCCTTGGTGGTCTACGTTGTGAATGTAAGTTAGGTTCCACCACGCGGCAGCGGCCTTTTCGAGGTAAGAAGTTGTTAGAGCAATCCTTTCGGGGCCCGTAAGGTTTCTTCGCAGAAGGATTTCCTTGGCCCAAAGCCATCTTTCCATCCCGATTAGCCAGACTCGAGCGGCGTCGTTCTCCCTTTGCCCTCCATACTTCGGGGGCTTTTCGACTCCCGCCCCTCCGATGTTTTGGAAGAGCTCGAGGGGGACGACTGTCTCGAGGGTGGTCGGGTCGGCTTGTCCCTGTTGGGAAGTTGAAGGGGTGGCTTGGAATCCAGAAGACGAAGGCACCTGGTGAGTGGGAGATATTCCAGGGGGGGCTCGTGAGGGCACGGTTGGTCCATACGGGTCGAAAGGGCTCCCGTCGGCGTTGGTCATATCGGTGTCCATTTCGATTGGGAGTGGACGGCATTTGAACGTGAAGTTCCGGGCTGGTTTGAGGTGTTCGAAGCACAGAGGATGAGAGGAAGGAAAGATGAGAGAATAGAAGAGGGAAAATGATGGCCTCGAAAGGGCACATTCTTATATAGGAGCTGTCTACCTCGTCCAGCGAGGGCGCTATCTCGGACCGGTCTTCATCATTTGCACTCTGAAGCCGCCACTATACCGAAGGTGTTCCTTACCGAGTGGCCTTGCCACCACTTTTCAGCTTCCATGTTCCCATTGATCCCCGTCGAAGGTAACATCTTGAAGGTCTGAATCACGTCGGGTTGTCCTTGAGAGCTGAAGAAAGCTCGGAACCGAAGTGTTTTACGTGATGTTCCGAGGTTGCCACCTAGGTTCGGCGAATAATATCGAGTTCGAGGCTGTTTCCAGCTCCGAATGTCGTCGTCTTCAGCTTTGAATGTTCCGGCTTCATGGTCTAGACGTTCACGACCAAGCTGAAAGGGTTTGCCGTTGTGCAAGGTGTGCGCGGACCTTTTCGAAAAAATTCTTTCTCCGCCCATCGCCGTTCAGAGGGCTCTCCTACTGTCGGGGTCTCCGAGGGGAATGAGGAGGCATTCCTTTCTCGTGGAAGAAGAGACCATTTTGTAGGGTAAAGAAATCTTTCGAGAGAGTTGTGATGTTGTCGTCGTCGGTTTCGTCTCAACGCTCCGAATTTGCTTCGAACTGAGGTCTGGTCGTTCAGAGACCTCTCGGATCGCCTGACTACGCCTCCCTCCTCCTCGAGGGGAGCGTAGAGGTCCTCGCGGACCCCAGTCCACGGTAGAGGACTGTCAAAGGCGTTGCTACCAGATGTGATTTTACGGAGGACTTGTCCTATTTCGAAGGGTCCGGGGGACCGTCAGACTATATACTTTCGAAGCGTGTACGAAGCGTACAACGCTTCCGAAGGTCTTTACAAGCCTTGGCGTCGCCACATATCACAGTTACTCAGAGCAACCATCAGTAACGTCGTCGTCTATGGAAACCTCTCACCAGTGTTTCAGCTGTGGAGCCTATACACAATAGCCCTTTTGTTCAACATCACCAAATACGAATCTGCGACACTGCTCCATCGAGATCAATTTGATGTTTCTCCACAAAACCGGCACCCACTCTTTCGTAGGCGCTGGGATCTCCGTACGATAGAGCTGGCGCAACAACAAGAATGTAACTCTTCTGTGCTGTCCCAAGGCTTGAAGACTTGTCCTTTCCAAGGACGACATATTTCAACCCTGGAAGCTGCTCTGTGCCTGGTTGGTCAAATACCACGAAGTGCATACCATGTCTTGTTGATGGCGCTGAAAAGTCCCTCGAAAAGGCTGTTAGCTCAAAGGGAGATGCCTTCTTATTGTCGTCACCATTGTCAGTGCTGCTGCGCTCGTCTTGTCGGAACGGGGATTGCAGACTTCGGAGCCAGTCGACTTTGCCAAATGGGACGTCGACGTACGAGATGCATCCGTCGTACGCCATCCAGGACCACGACGGGACTTTTCTCCCCTTGGGATAAGAAATCCGCCTCATCTCATCGCCAGCCCGCTGCCATAACAGGCTTCGGTTCAGATATGCCTCGAAGATGCCGTACACTCCATTAGTGTTAAAAGTCCTAACTAGTCTTTTTTCAAGTCCACTAAGGGCGATGGACCGATCTGTCATGTTGGTGAACGCAAGCGTCGAATACCGCTGGTAGACAAACTCATAGAGACGAATCCTTCCGCCCTTGACAAAGCGTTCGGCAGATTTTGGAAACTCTGAATCTCCTAAGAAGGCCGACTTTGGGCTGAACATAACAGTCAGAAGTTTGTTTCGCTACCTGGGCAATAGCATAATTGTAATGGGACTTAACATACTTGCGCATTTTGGTGAGCGTTTCGCAATGAACTCCACCGCCACATTCCCAATAAACTTGTGATTCAGTGAAGTGGATGGTGCGGTGTGACAAGGCGCGTTCCTGCAAAACCCATCCCCGCTGGTTCAGTTCGCCTTCTTCCACGTCAGCGCGGAAGTTGTCAATCGCTTTGCAAACATAATAGACGTCTCCGGAATTGTGCTTCAGCGTTACAAACTCTCTCTGTGGTCTTGGCTTGAGAAACCCGTCAGTGGTACCTCGAGCGCAGCCAGCCGCAATTGTGCAATAGGCGAAGCTGAAGACATCTTCCATCAATTTAGACTGCGACTCCCAGTCCTCTGGGTCGTCTTGCACGATACAAAGGGAGTCTATCCAAAGGAAGCGGACCCCAAGACCTCGGGTGACTATCACAGCGTCCTGGAAGGTCTTCGGTAGCTGATCAAAGCCAATCGAGCGTTCGAAATCATGGTGGTTTGCTCGAATCGTGCAGAATCGTCGATGCTCAGCCGGATCACCCCATCGATGGGATAATGCCAGGTATCTGCCTGTCTCGCGGAACGCTGGACAGTATAGTCGTAACATTCCTGGATTATCACCACTGCCAACATCGAGAACTCTTGTTGGCAGTGGCCCGTTAAGTGTAGGGTGGCAGTCATGCTGCTTTGCTTCATCGCAAAGTCGAAGCCACTCTCGAATTAGCTCGATCTGTGTTGAACCCCCCGGACTTGGAAGTTTCGGAAAACCAACCTGAACGTACCGAGGTAGATTTCGGGACGCTAGCAGCGTTAGAAACCATGATGAAGAAGATTGAGAGGGTGGGCGGTCATGCTCATACTTGGATTGGTGCAGATAGTAAGAACTGGTGGACCATGGCGGTCAAGATGGAATGCTGAGCCCAATCTATGGAATTGAATTGTTCTTTGACCCAACATACCCCATTTCTCGGCACAGCGGTAGAATATTCCACAGAGTCCACAGAAAGAAGCTCTCTGCTCGAAGTTAGTGACAAGATCTTCTATAGAAATTCCCTCTCTCCAGATATTCAATTCTTCGCAGACGTTACATAGTTTCGAAAGTTCCCCTTGGGGAGGGAGAGTCTCTTGCCAGTTAATTCGGCGAAAAACGTTAACAGCGAAGTCATTGCTCGCGACCGTTTCCCAGGTATCGGTTAGCTGCAGCAGTCAAAAACTCAGCCGACATATAACAATTCTTGAAGGGGGTTATGGCCGCACCGGCTAATGAGTGGACTAAATGTCAGTCGCACAATCTAGACATCAGCAGTTCCAAAGAAGAATTTACTTACTGGCTAAAGAAAGTGAGGCCCCAGTTAGTTGTGAGTGGGTAACCGCTGTACCTTATCCATGCTTTGACTTACATACTCGAAGAATTAGCTGCCTCAAACGGAATCTCGAAATGAATTCATACGTACGTTCTAACAGTCCAACCAGGTCTTCGTCAGCAACTTTCGGTTGCTCGAAGGATTGATGACTCACTCACATACTGTTCGATTGAGCCCGATCCATATTAGCCGTTGAAATCGCGCATGACTTATTCAGGGACGCACTTCCTGTAGTGCGACGGCCCGATTAGCAGACGTCCTAGAATATCGAATATTGAAAGGAGGTTTCTTCTCACATTCTAAAATCCAAATCAGTGTCGCTGTCTATCCGAAGGTGGCATACATACATTTGTTTGGCTAATATTGATGTTGCTAGCTGCCGCTCGTGGATCTTCAGCATTCATGGTCTCAGTTATCTGCCCAATACCGCTCTGAGAGGATTGCCAATTCTGTAATTATCATTACTTGGAAACCTGTTGCTAAGGATATGGGTCCTTATTACCCGAAGTGTTGCGATATGGATTTCCTTATATTCTTCATTCAACCGTACGACTTGGCCGCCTGGTGGGCGATCAAGATTCGCAACTAGCTGTGCCTGTTCCTTACCCAGTACCGGTAGATGTTGAGTGCCAAACCTTGGGCTTGGGCCTTTCTCTTGCATGGTGGATGGAGGCCCAGAGAGATGAGGCTGTGCGACGATGCAATTTTTTAGATAAGGGGAATCCGATGTTGCCCTCTCTCGAATCTTTACCATGGTGTGGTAAAACTCATCTGAGAGCGCTCGATATTCCCTAAGCTGGACATTTGATCCGGTCCGGTTGACTTTGACTACGAGCAGCCGGTCTTGGACAAGTTCCAAGAGGTCTCCAAACGCCGTTCCTTTCGCGACTCGGGGGTCAGACTTCCGCATCCACATCATCCAGTGGAAGACTACGTCGTGGACCCTCGCTTGGCTGGAGCTGACTGCATTGGCCGGTGCAGTCCAGAATTTCTGATGTAGAAAACTGTTGCCGAAGGTTTCAAGACCAGTCTTTCCGTAAAGGAGCCAGATGATGAATTCCAAACAAATGCATCCCATTGACCAAATGTCATATGCACGAGACCGTGCACCTTCATCAAGCAAGTCCGGAGGTTCGTATTTCTGTGTACCGGACACGGTCACCGTTAGAATATGTTGATCGATTCTCTGCCAGGTCGGGTTCTCGTGGATCTTGGCCAACCCAACATCAGCGATCACCAGTCTTCCCTTGTTTCCAGCGTCAGACTCAAGGAAGCAGAGAATATTCTCCGGTTTCAAGTCACCGTGTCGGCAATTCTTATTTTCGTCAAGATTATGCAGTCTCCATATGGCCTTTGATAGACCCAGAAGCTGATCGAGAACCCACTGGGCCCAACTAACATCTGGCGCTCCAGGGCTCTCCCGCTGCCAAACGTTTCGAAGATTTCCGCCATTGGCCCACGGAAACATGAAGTATAACTTATCTCCTCGCTGGAACACGGCAATGACATCGACCAGATGCGGGTCCTTGGGACTGAGTTCCCTAATCATTTCCAAGACATCGGCTTCTTCTTGGTACATCTTCTCAAGGTTCATCTTGCTGACGTATAGGCAGTCGTTATTTGGCTCTTTGACAGCTATCAGCGGCTGCTGATTATTAACCTGTTCCAAATGAGCTTTAATATCAAGATCCAGACATTGAGAATCCACTGTACTGTTTGAAATATCTGCTGATGAGCAGGATGTATACGTGCAGGATAGACAGAACTGAAACCCCCATGTTTCCTTTCTCCTATAAATTCAAAAGGTAGAATGGATTTCTCGTGGAATATGTAGCGATGCCTCGTCTTCACAAAAACAGGGACCACGAACTGCCACTGATTAGTGCAAAAGTCGTGGATACGGCTGTCGTCCCATTTCCATGTATCGTCACTATTGCCAATACCGAACACATTTAACGCATTCCCGGATGAATCATCTGGTGGTAGGTTCTCGGACAAGCTGTAGAGTTCGTAAACCTCGCCATCCTTCTCGTAATGAAGAGGGAGGTAGTCGTCGGTGAGCTGGTGCTCATGGAATCCCTTGATGGCCTTCGTCATCCTGGAGTAAACCAAGATCGCAAAGAGCTTCTTCGCTTTTTGGTAGATGAATTCTACGAGATCAGGATTGATATTGAGTTGTTCTGCTCTCATCTCCGCTTTGATATTCTCTGTGTTGAGATGAGCATCAAGGCAACTCTCCGAGACAAACGGCTTTTCATCTATTTGGCTCATAGTATACCCATTAATAAGCTTCTGTTTAAGAATATGTTTATCGGGAGGGAGTTTAAATGTCGCCTTCGCCTTGGCGCCAGAGCCGATTGTTGAGTTTGTCTTTGACATGTTGATAGGGGCCCAAGTCGTCAAGAACGGCCACGGTAGAGGCTTGAAGGAATTGCAACGGGGGAACTTGGGGGGTGGATAATTCTCTGTCAAGTCGACAATCTGAATTGCCAGTAAATGACTCCATTGCGAGGCACCCGGCTAGCACTTATACCAGACGACGCAGATATGGTCGGAGTAAACCCCAGCATTCAAGGCTGAGGGAAAACACGATGTTTCATCACACCGAGTCGGTGGCATGGCCAATCATTCTGGCGTGGCTGCATTGGATGTGACAGGAGGCGTGATCAATAGACACATCTGCAGAAGTCAAAAAGAAACGATCTCTAATCCAAACAGGGCACAGCGAGAGACTTGAATGAGTGCAAGACCGAGGACAGAATGGCGCTCCTTGATTTGGGAAATTGGGTCATCTGCCCCGTATACCTATCTGTTGGGCGAAGTCCCAGTGGCTCAGTATTTCAAGTTTCTTCCCTTCCATGTCCTAAATACGAGAAGGGGGCTTCTTTTTGCCTCGATGGTGAAACCGGTGAAGCTGCGATGGTGTGCGGGGGAGCCCTCTGTTAGGATGGATAACTATGAAGTCCTCAAGTAGCAACACTAACCAAGCTAGTGTTTGCGCCCGGTTTTAGCGAGTAGCCTTGATTTCAAAACATTCGTAGAGCCGCATTCCTCTCAACTACCAGTATCAGCGATACCAATAGTACAGCGGTGCATTGTCCGAAAAGTATCACGTTATAGCACAGCAGTACATTGAAAATCATCAAAAGGCTGATATCAGTGTTGACATAATCTTGATTTTATTAAACAAGTCTCCGCCACCAATTTCCCCGAACTTGATATCTTCGTAAGCGCTCTGAGGCTATGGCTAGATTCAAATAGATGAATAGACCTTCCCGAATATGTCACAATTTCTGCTCAAGATATTTCTTCCATTCCAAAGATGAGACACCGCTACTTGCGTCGATATGCGGAAAGGACGATGTAAGGAGCTTGACGGCCTTGCATCTCTGGAGTATCACGAGCGCATAACCAAATTTGCTCGTGATACCACTCGACACTGGGCCAAGGGGGCGATTGCGGTGGTTGATTTCAGGCCTTTATATGCCGTCACCATACACCATCTCCAACGTCAAATAGTGCGGGAGATGCACGCCTTCTCGGAAAATAATGACGGATGAGCAGCTGGAAACTTATCCGAAGACGCGCGGCACACAACGGCAGGTCTTGGAGCTAACCGAGAAACGCCGCAAAGATGTCAGGATGATGTGGTGGAGATTCATATGTGCAATAATAGGCGGGCTTGCCATTGTTGTGCCGGTGTTGGTTATCGTTGTCGGCAAAGCGTCTGCAAAGAGCCTAATTGTGGTCTCGATCTCAATACTTGTGTTTACAGTGATAATTGCGCTGTTCTCTGAGGCCGCGGGCGAGAGTCTACTTGCCGCAACGGCTGCATATGCTACGGTATTGGTGGTGTTCATTAACAGCAGAACCACCGTTGCCGCAGTAAGCAGTTGAGCGCTGTGCTATTGTAACGGGACGATAGGGACAGCACTGATGGCTGTCCAGAGACGACAACACAATAACACCAAACACCTCAGGGAGAGGAGGACTCATCTGAACTTTGTTGAATAGGTAGGAAAAACTCAAAGACCTCGATAAGGAATCTCTAAACACTCAGTTGTTTCAAGGAATGTCTTCTCGCTATGGTTGAGTGCAACAACGATATCAACGAAGGGTATCGATCTGTTACGAGGGGTGTAGAGAGAAGGATCATAAATCGTTGCGAGTGCACAAGGTAGGGTGTGGAATGGTAATGTACTGAAACCTGTCCGTCTATCTAAGGGTTCGAAGGCTCTTCTTATACCTTCGATCCGTTCATCTTCCTGCCTCCTTTCTAACGCCCAGCCCCCTTCCTGCCAACTTTGCAGTGGCTGGGAATTCGTGGCGTGATGGGTGTTACAATAGAGTCCTCCTAATAAGACAAGCCCTCGGTAAATCACACACCTATCCCTATAGATTTCTGCCAAAAACTCTAGTTTATGCCAGCCTACATTCGTTTACGGATCATATGTAAGTGTCAAATTGAATATTCCAGGAGAATGTAATGCTCAGTCTATCTGACAACTGGTCCAGCCGGGTTGCTGGTATATATATATACCAGAGTTGCTAACAATCAATCTAATCAATCTCGTCGTCGTGGATTGATTGATTGTTAGCAAATAGTCTCACGGATTGATTGGATTGATTGATATGATTTTCAACGGAAGATGGATTGATGGGATTGGATTGATTTGTAAGTTGATCGTCCTCCTTGAATTGCATCAAATAGTCGTTGACATTGAGGGTCGTCCGTTCACGCTCGGTTACGAACCATCTCGAGTGTGACTAGTAGAGCTTCTCTGAGGTGGTCCACAGACTGGATCCGATGGGCGACGAAAGGGGGATTTCATCGGATCCAATCCATGAGGGCGCCCCCCTCGAAGGGGGAGCACGTGATCCCGGAAAATAACGCCAAGCCATATGCTTACGTGATTGGCCGGCTCGCCGCTCTTGGCGTCGCCGCACAACGACAAGCTGCAACCGGGTGGTTCCAAAAAAAAAAAAGCCAAAAAAATAAGGTTTATTATTTATTCTGCCAAAAACTGCTTCAAAATTGACACCAAATCGTGGTTGACCTATCAAGGACGTAACCGAGTGGTAAAACACTCGGCTTGCAGTCGAACCGATAGAATTGAGGGGCCTTACTAGTGTTCGATCATAGGTAAGGTAAGAGGGTTGTCCGGCCTAGCTCCATTGAGTTTCTAGGTGCCCTAGATGGGTAACGTAATGCTCCAGCCAGTGATTGTTGATGATGTCGTCTTGTTCATACCGTTGGAGGTCACTGATTCAAACTCTTCTTCGGTTGAACTTGTCTGGCTGAAGCTTTCACTGGCTGCGGCGCCCCATTTATAAGTTCGTCAGAGATGGACTATAGGAGGGGAGCCCTTTTATTTTCTTAATATTTTTTTTTGTTTGCATATATACTCTTAGATGCTACTGTAACAAGCCAATCCAATCAATCTCCAGCTTTTGGGATTGATTGATTGGCAAAATTCAGCCCTCGGATTGATTGGATTGATTGATTTGTAAACAATCCTAACAATCAATCTTCCAATCTGGCTTGGTTGTTAGCAACTCTGATATATACACGTTTGGTTGACCCTTTTCTACCACTATTCCTACCCCCATATCCTATATAGGGGTGATAACCCCTTTTCCAATAAAGGGGCACTCGCTACTATTCAACCATTCAGGGAAACCTTGTTCGACATAGACCCACTCTCTGTTGTCCGAAACTCTCTGCCAAGAGTCTCTCTCCCGAGAGCCTCCCGTGCAGATGGGGGTTGGTATTGCCAAGAATTACTAAACGTGGCTAGTACATCCGTGCTAACTCGGCGAAAGATGCAAAACGTGGAAGGTCTGACCTCCAACGACACTGTAAAACTGAGACAAAGAGTTCGTCAACGCGAAGGTCGACGCTCGCCGCTTGTCGCTTCGTTGCGACCGACATTGCCAAATTGAACTTCTGTAGTGGTTCATGGAAGTCCCGTGACGAGCATAGGTAATTGGGCTAGTCTTCACACTTTCACTTGGGTGTGAATTGTCTCTGCCCATCAGGGCCTAGCCTTTCTGATCGTTCATGGACTACTCTTGCTGCTCAACTTTTTCCAGGTCCTCAATACACTCAGCAAACCACCCATCAATGCGCTCTGTGATCGTGGCAACTGCCTGCTTAAGCCTCTCGATAGCTAAGTCTTTCTCCGACTTCCCGACGCTTTCTTTGTCAGTAGGATTATTGCTTTTGTCTTGACTAGTCTTATCGGCCTTTTCCTCCGAACTAAGCCCTTCGATGCCTGTTTCTACTTTCCCAATCTCGTCCTCAACTTCCTCCCAAATTTTCTCGTCAGGGACAGCAAACCTGTGTGCGCCGTAGTTAATGGAGGGACCCATGGTTTTACCCGCCGCGGCAGCGACGTCTTCTGAGGTTGCTAAATGATCTGGCTCTTTTCGTTCGTCGAATCCAAAGAGTTCGACCCTTAGTCGATGTATGAGCCGAACAACTGGGAATGATGTCTTTCCGAAGAGACGTAATCGATTATCGCCCATCCATTTATTCCAGGTAACGCTTACAATAATGAATTTTCTGGACCCCAATCCTGCACCTTTTTCAGCTTCTGTGGGCTGGGATGCCCCAGCGGAAGCAATGCGTTTTAGTTCCTTCGCACCTTCAGGAGTCCGATTCAGTTCTCCAAAGAGCAAAACCCAAAAGACACTCTCAATGTCATGCCATGGGTTGTGCCGAGAGTGTTCCCCCATCAGAATGTTGATCGCCATGTAAAGGTAAGTGCCAGTGCGCCAGGGAGCTCCGGAACGGGGGTCTCCATATATGCAAGCCATGTCGAGGTCAATCAGTCGTCCGGGTGGAGTGGCGCCCTCCCCGTTCAGCATATCTGGCGACGTCACCATAATATTCGCTGGAGAAATATCTCGATGTATAACGGGCCGATCCCTGCAAAACATTTTCCGAATGGCACGTACAGCAGAACGTAGAGCCTTTATACGCTCAAGTTCAGTAACATCTCGAGGACTGGGATATTGATGTTGTGAAAGTCCATGCGGTGTGGTATCCACAGAAACGCCACAGTACTCTTCTAGGTACCATCGCTGCCTTCTCGTATACGAAGACTTATCGGCTAACTTAGTAGCGGTTCCCTTCACTTCCGGCATAAACAAGCCCTTCTCAGCATCTTTATTCTGGGTTTGGTTTGCCATGACGGAGGATGTACTATGTGTCACCTCCATATACCGATAGTTCGGTCCCATTTTGAGATATTGTCTGGAATGTTTTGCCTCCGGTAGGACGTCAAACTCGGCTGTTAAAGGTCCGTCTTTCCACTCAAAAAGCTTTGGTAGTTCCTCGATATCGCTAAGTTCACTAAGGATATCGGCCTCACTCGTGCGCGCCTCGTAGACCCAGGCCATTTTCAGTGCTGCAAGATCGTCACCTTCTGTAGGTGAGCTCTCTGTATTCTTTTTAGCCTGTGGCTTTCTTGATTTTTTCTTTTTTGGCTTCGGTTTCTGCATTTTAACAGGCCATACCGTAGTGCCGCGTGTCGTGACCATGTCGACACCCACACGCACGAGTGGCGATGGTATCTTACATCCGGCAGGAGTGAAGCTGATGGCTCTTCGACCGATT